AGGGTCATTGCCGTTATCGCGGAAGGCTGTTTCAAACCGCCCGCGGCGTTCGAGAAAAGCTTGTCGCGTGCCGATCCTAATGCCGCCCCTGCATACCAAGGCTCTCCTTGGATCGCGTCGTGGGGGTCAGGATCGATGCACAACACTGACAGCACCAGAGATCTCGACTCCAGCGTGTCAGCGTCCAGACCCGCTGTATCGCACTGTCTCCATCTTTCTCCCCAGATGTGATCCAACGATGTGCGCAGGATGAGCGTTCCCTGTGCTGCATCAGTTCCAGACATCGGATAAGGCGGCAACTACCTCACACCTCGCTGTTGCACCAATTTAATGATATGGCGGACGGAAAACACTCCACAACGTCTCCATATTGACGAGTCGTGATTTCAACAGCGGACGTGTCCTCGCAGGAAGAAGTCTAAGCGATACGTCCTCAGCAGTCGTGGTGGAGGAAGGCCGCTCGGCTCGTACAAAGCCCGATTTCCGCCTGTACTAAACGTGGTGGGTCGCTCTGTAGTATGTCATAACCCGTATCCTGTGCGGAAGCGTCTTTAGTAACTTGCCGTCATGTAAGGTAGAACAATTCTTAGTGCACTACGTCAGAGCAGCATGCTTTTCAATTGAACGCCGCGGAGCTTTTGTTACGGTGTCGACTTGGGAGCTTCAAGATTAGGGCATGGATCGTGGCTGAGAACCTCGCACCAATCCTTGAAGACATCATCATCACCTAAAAATCAAAGAGGTATGCAATAGACCTTCTCTTACAGTACAACTGTGGTTCTCTTTGCTCTCAATGATGATCAATGTACTATATTCGCCATGTGCATATTCGACAGCTGTGTATTTTGCGAAAGAGCGGACAATAAATATCTCCATGAGACAAGTTAACAGTACAAGCTATCAATGACATCATATTTCATGTCGGTAGGCTGCTCGACAATATAATATGCTTGTTCGCTGTCGTTAAAGGAATTGATGCATTCAATGGTCGAATGCCATGGCTTGCCGAAGCACTATTGTCCCGTGCAGTATGGGACGATACACTACTATATCAGGCAATATCCGGCTTCCGTCGATTGTAGCGTCCCTGTCTGTGAAAAGCAAAGCTCTCGTAGTAGTCCAGTTCAGGGTAAAATTGGCGAGGGAACCCTCTTCACCCAAAATTCGCAGCAATCGATGGACGTGAGACAACTGCCTATCTGAGCATGCATTCATTTGGTCTGCTTTCTGTTTGAGTAATGAGTGGGTAGGCAATGTTTGAAAAGGCGTAAAATGTCGCAGTACGGCGGCGAAGTGGATAAGAAGAGCACGCAGCACAAGAGAAAGCCGAAGGACGAAATGAAGCTCGTGTCCTCCATGCTACATTCTGCTGGAATCTACACCTTAGCGAACCTTCCCAATTGGGCATGAAGTAATCATGGATACAAACCTCATGTCTACGAAAGATAGATTCGGGGTTAAGAAGGCAGGAGTCCGCAAGATACACTCACCGCACTGTACTATAGGGAAGTGGGAAGGTGAACATTGAGAAGTGAGGTGAGCGGACTCCATTCACACCTGCTAGAATCCACGCTCACAGTTTATTACCCAATGCAGTAATCGTGAACTTACAAACCTCATACATCTTGAAGCATGTAGGAGTAGACACGAGTAGAGACGACGGGAATGTTGTGATGTTGCTGGAGACTCTGCTCGTCCCGATCGGGCTAAAGTCGCGAGGACATCACGTCATACCAGAACGAGGAAGGCGCGACGCGAGCTCTCAGATGCGCATCTTCCCCGCAAACTCTCTTGACTTTTGCAACCACACAGTCACAATGTTCAGCTTACCGAGGATATCACTGCCTTCTTTTCTTCGCGCTGGCGAAGGCACGCATCTCACCGTCGACCTCCCCTCTGTAGAAATCCACGACATCGAGACCTCGGCAGAGAAGCGACCGCGAACCCTCAAGCATCTACTCAAAGCGAACCACGCCAACTACGCAATCATATACCACAACCTCACATTTCACAACCATACACCGCACGTATGCTGCTCCTCCTGTAAAGGCTGTAGCTGCTAAGCATGTACCCTAGATCCTGGGATCGGCTTACCTTCTGGGAGGCACCGCAGAGCATCTGAACGAGATCTACGAGAGAGAGGCGGAAGTGCTGGAACCTTGGCATGATGCGCCTGGTGAGATAACAAAGGACGACTGGCGAGAGTACCTGGGGAAGCGCGAGTAAGTAGCTGCATGATGGTGCGATTCAATAGGATTGGGGTCAGTCGCTAATGGGCAGCCAGATACCAACGCGCATTCATTGATTTCTTCGAGGATCAGCTCGTGAGCAAGAAGTACGATGTTGAGGAAGTTCTTGAGGAGTTCTTGCTCAAGGGCAAAGAACCGCTGATCAACGGCCTCATTTCAGGACGTAAGTTTGCGCTCTTCCGAAGCCCGAATATCGCTAATCCCATGCAGTTGCGCATCCTCTCATTCATCTCGGCTACGCTTACGAGCTCAACTCCACGACCGTTGCGATCGAAGCCCTAGCGATGGGCTCTTGCTTCTACAGTCCGCTCCATAAATACATCGACGATCCAAAATACACGAAGCCCAGCCCTCACGAGGCGACTGGGAACCACACCGGGCTCATCGATTTGTTGGACAAGGTGCGGAAGGATAAGCGCTTCGATGGACTGTACGATCACCGTAGCGGCGATATCACGAAAGTGCTAGAGGAGCGTGAAGAAGCCTTTCTGGAGTACTGGAATGCTTGGGAAATTACTGCCCCGAACGAACAGTTCCAAGCTGCTCAGGAGGTCGGCTTGGGGCTTTTGACTGGAACACCACGACCGGGGAAGGGAAAGTACGACTTCTTCCTTGTACATGTGCTTACAAGCTCTCACGCTATTCGCATCCTTCTCCCGTTGATACCGGCCAAGTTCCATGTCAGTCTTCTACGGCAATGGTGGCTATTCGCGCTAGCTGTATACATTGCCCAGACGAGGCCAGAGATCGATATGGGTAAAGCGATGACTGGTGACGACAGCCAGAAGAAGACTTGGAAGCATGTTGTAACCAAGGCCTTGAACGGACCACATTCGACTGATGCGCATTACGTCAAAGGTATGTTACGAGCCTCTTGCCGAACCGCGGTGTTCTTGACTGACATGGCGCAGCATTGCGTGCGTTGAAGGTAGCGGAGGAGACATGGGAAAGGGGTAGTGACAAATCAAACCACTGGCTCAGTGCAGCAGTCAAGTTCGCGGACGAGTTTGAGGGCTGGGGAGGATTTGGAACAGCGGAAGACGAAGCAAAGATGGGATATCCTGAGAAGCAGTAAGATTTACTATACAAGATGGCAAAGATAATGTATGCGCAGGTCTGGCTAGGTGGAACGTTCTCAACCTGCTTGACAGTGACGCACTCACGTGGTCTGATGTGAATTTGGCGCAGAACTGATCATTCACCACCTTCTGCCTTTCGTCTGCTGACTCTATCTCCTGGCGACAGTCACCATCATTACCCATAGCACGCAATACACTCTAGCACCTGACCGCAAGGACTACCTACTTCTCTCTTCTGGAAAACCGTGAGTACCAGCCTCCGCCATTCAGCTGCATTCAACCATACGATGGACCCAAATCCCCTTACCACCACTCCAGCTCTATGCACTCAATACAAAATTTACTGGCGAGAGTGCGGCCATGAGTTCAGCAACGTTGGCGATGTAGTCCCCTGCCAAGCAGCTGCGAACAACCTCCCATGTGCATGTAGGACAAATCTAAGAATCGTGCGCGACACGACTACCTCTCGAGGCGTAGATGGTCATACTAGAGTGCTGAGTGATGGAACTGAGACTGGGTTTTGCAGGCCGTGTAGATTGGAGAACGAGAGGGAGAGGAGGAAGGAGGCAAAAAAGCAGAAGAGGAAGGTGAGCAAGGCAGATAAGGGTAAGAAGGTAGACGGCGGTAGCAAAGTCAGTGGAACGGGTGGTGAAGGTAGAAGCGGATTCGGAGGTGGGTTTGGAAGGGAACGGAATGTTAGGGTGGAGAAGAAATATGTCAAAGTGGATGGAGGTGGGATTGGGAGTAAAGATGACTGGGAGGTAGGGATGCCGCCGAAGACGACTAAGCAGTACCAAATGGATTTGAGAAGGCTCAAAGAGAGCATTGGGAGGGATACCGGGAAAGCGATGAGTTTGTGAGGGGGCTTAGTGTGGAGTGGTAGTTTGGTAGCTGGTAGAGAGGTGACCAATGGTTCGATATGTAGGCGTTCTCGTTGGCTAGCCAAGCATGAAACCATGGTCGACGCCCTCGCTTTTCAAATATATCTTCCATTTCAACTTGTAGATAAGAAAGCATCATCGCAAGCATTTCACTCACTTCATACTTTTCATCCACAAATACCACAGCAACATAGCCCCAAGACAATTTCGCAACACCGCTTTAGAAGATGTCCAACATGTCACTCCAACCACTTTGGCCAACGCGCCCACAAGCAATCCAAGTAGATCTCACCATGACGCGAGAGCTCCTCCGCGTCTTATCTCGCGGTGGGAACGGCCATCCTCTCCACCACGACTCCCTCTACCAGTCGACCTACCTATCTAGCGCGATGGCCTCACAACTTCTTTACAATTGGCCAGTCCTCCAGGCTCGCGCGCTCGCCCCTCTCTTCCTCAGTCTCAAACAGAGATATGAATTACAAGCGAGGCACTACCGAGCTTGGAGGATGTTGGTCACCAAGGGCCTTGCAACGGAGGAAGCGATTCGTCTTCCGATTGATGAGCGCAGCTCGGTGAATAAACCTGCGGTTTGGAGGTTGCTTGATAAACTCTCTGCTTTCCCGAAGTTTGGGGCGGTGGACATATTGGAGGTGGGAGGGCTTAAGTGTCAATGCCGGAACTGCTCTGAAATGGCATTAGATTTGGAACAAGACAGGGGGGATGTGTTCGTGCAGCCGGGGTACTGGTTTGCGGCGGTCGTATTGAGGTCAAATTGCGACGTTGAGAGTGTAATGGAGGCACTGAAGACATGGGGTGGGTTTGGAAAGTGGGATGCGGACCATAGATGCTATGTACCTGATGAGAAGCTGAAGGAGGAGTTGGTACATGTTGAGAAGGTCAAGAAAGAGGAAGACAGCCTTGAGAGAGGAAGCATAGGTACACTGTTCGGAGAGGAGATCGAAGAGGCAGAGGACGATGTTGAGCATACCGAAGATATCGAGGACTTATCTTCACTACAAACCGAAATCTACAGTGAGGGCGACAGCTCCACAGGCATCGAAACACCGCCTTCGACAACCGAGGAGCTTATAGATCCTACACTCACGCTGTCACCCATACCGAAGCCAACGGACCCCTGCCCAGAACACTGTCCCTCCCGCCGGCGTCGCCTCCGCGATAACGTCCGCGATCCGAAATATCCATCGTGTACATACCACTGCCACAATCCACATGCTCCTTTCGAATTCGAGCCAAGCGGCGAGCAAGTCGGCTTCTGGCTTCCACATGGACTGCAGGATGAACAAGCACGGAAAGAATGGACAGTGGCGACTAACAAGAGAATGAGGGACTTTAGGATGGCATGCAGAAGTCTGTTTGGGAATGATTGTGCGGGTGTGAAGGCAACTATAGAGGTTCAGTGGTGTGCGTGGGATTTCATTAGAGCGGATTATGGGTATGGTGAGCGGAGGGACTGAAAAGTTGCTTCTGAGGTGGTTTACGTATGTAATGAGTCGTAGAATACGATAATTGAATGTCGCGCAATAAAGTTCGGCCTGAGGATGTGTTATCTAGTGTTCAGTCCACTGGAAAACCTATCCAAGGTTGCGTTCTGAACTCCTCGTCTCCGTCAAGACTCTCAACTCAGGCGAGATATTTGCAGCTACCGATCGAAGAATATTGAAATCGTTAACTATCTCGGGTAGAGTGCTAAATGGAGACTCCCGAGGTCGATTCGGAGCTCGATAGCGCGTGGCATGGCCGGCCGCCTGCAGAATTTATCCGCCGGACATGAACGCTGTTGTGTAAATTCACACCCTGCTAGGATGTGCCGATGTGGTGGTTCAAAAACGTCTCCTGGTGTATCGTAGCACTCAATCGTTACCCCTCACTACCCAGATATACTCTAGCTTAATTAGTGTCTTGGCGTCATGCCATCCTCACTTGGGCCGAGTTCGCATCACCAGTCTCAACTCGCCCTTTACAACACCCACCTCAACACTTGTATACCATCATCGCCAGCATTACCTAGATATACGCAGAACTTTTTCCGGTGGCTCGATCCGTTCTTGTGAAAAGGAGCGTGTCCCTCCGTTCAGCCGCAAGCCAATCAGCCATGTTGCCAGGGTATGGGTGCAGTCGCAATCTCAAGAGGCCTGCTTCGCGAAGTCGAAGACCCTCGCTTTCTGACAGGCGAGCGTCACGCCATCGCGCTACAGGCTAACAGAGGCTTTCGTCCGACTAACCGACAAGGAAGACCTAACACCAATGATGCGGACCGCTCCCGACACTGCTTTAGTCTGGAGATCACATCCCAGCCTCGCCCTTAGACTTGATACTTCCTGCATACCTTGATAAAACCTGCTTGCGCCCCGAGGCTTTGGGTAATCGCCGTCTAACCTAACTACTGGAGTCGAGCAGCCGTTCACCAAGCGCGCAACTTGAACCACCTCCGGATCAGTCAACTCCTGAGACAACGCCGTACACGTGGCTGTGTTGGTGTGCCCACTTCACACCAGTTGCAGCACACGTTCGCAACTACAACGATAGGCCACATGCTGTGCCCCTCCGAGCTTTCCGCGAGATCGTAAGGTTGCGCGAAAGGTTCCTCGACTGCCTCAGCAGAAACACATGAGGTGTCGAGCGTTCTGTGAGGTAATGAAAAGCTCTTTTAGCCGGCGTGCCAGCCGCTTTATGCTCAACGCGACATTGCCACTATGGTCTCCCAACTGCTATACTTTTGCGCAGCTGCATGTGGCACAGCTCTGCTGTGCTACTCATCACGAAAAGAACCGCACTGGCGGGTCCGTACCTGATACGCTCACCCTGCTTCTTGCTACCCGCGCCGCTCACCCCACATTCCATACAACATGTCCGTTCTCGCAGTAGTCGTCGATCGGCTTCTGCTCAACAGCCTTTCTAGCGTATGTCTAAGACGATGTATCAAGTCATCTTGTCGGACTTGAATTGGACGCCCATCGTTCAGATCATCACTTGGTTCACTCTCGTAACCAGTCTCCTGGCGTTCTTGACGCATGCCGGCATCAAGTTCTACGTGTTTCGGACGTTGACTATCGAGTCATGGCTCGTACTTGCATCCCTGGTAAGTCAAGCATCAACAGACTCAGCAACATTTGCTAATAAGTATTGCCAGATATTTTGCGTCGCACAATCTGTTGCCGTATTGCTGCAAGCACACTACGGTTTCGGGAAGCCGATCGCGACTTTGAGTGGATATCAGATCGAGTCGAATCTCCAAGTAACCTTCTACCTCCGCTTGAGTACCTGGTCCGGAGCGCTGATATGAGCGAAGAGCGAATATGCCGCAATGATACTCTTCATTGTCTCCCTCGGCTTCTCGAAGCTTGCTGTCGTCGCATTCGTCCATCATCTGACTCCATCCGAACTCCACCGCAGAATCAACTTCGGCGTCTTGGCTCTTATAATCTTGTGGCTGGTTTGTTCTGTGTTGGTCGCAGCATTCGAGTGCCGGCTGCCACGACCATGGGACAGAACATTGGATCAGTGCATCGACCGTGTCAGTAATCTACGCAGATGCGTAGTCGGCTTCTGCTGACGTTAGGCAGTTGACCTGGTGGAATACGGTCTCATGCTTCAATATCATGACAGAGCTCGCGATCGTGGCCTTGGAATTGGGCATAACAGCGCAACTTCACATGCGACGGCAACGGAAGGCAGCGGTCATGGCTTTGTTCTCATGTCGTTTATTGTGAGTACGAAGCCCTACACGTATCTCAAATACTGACAAGCTACACAAGAGTTCTTGTTGCTGCTGCGGTTCAGCTTAGCTTCTTCAATCGCGACAGCACCAATTCCGCTTTGAAAGACGACATGACACTCGGTTACTGGCGCTCGTCTATCTGCAACCAGATTGTGCAATGTTTTGCTATCGTCACTACATGTCTTCCGTATACCAAGCTTTTCATGGAGGGTTTTGAGTCAGGACTTATGCGATTGGACGATCTGCGCCGTCGAGGAGAGCAAACCTCCAAAGACGACAGCAAAGGATACCAACTCATGGACATATCGCGATCGGGACGCTCCGAAAATTCCAGACCCTCATACAGCGGGCCGGATAGGAGCATCCAAGTATCGAAGAGTTGGGCAGTGCAAGTAGAACCAGTAGCCCGCATGCCGGCTACAACAATACTGCAGTAAATCTATATCTATAGTATGTAACACAGTCTAGAAAGCACAAACCAACACATGTAAAAATTGGCGCGGCATTTCAGAAACGCACACCCTTGCTGTACCCTCGTTTCGCAGTGCAGGTGGCACGGCACGCAGCATATGCGCCTAGGTTTCTTCCAGCAGGTCTTCCGGATTGCGACAACTGGTGCTACGATCCTATTGGTGAACAGGCTATAGGTCAACGGTCGGGATCATTACGAGGATCATCTCGGCTACAATGTTGTGCATAAGCGGCCCTAGTTCTTCATCTATGCGGCTACTTGGTTCTAACGGCAACTCGGTTCTTTCTCTTTATCCTTCTGCTTATTCTCTCTTTCATCTCCTCCATCATCGGTCGTCTCACGAGTTCCGCTTTTATTGCTGTGTCGACTTTTCACCTGTACTCGTATTGGTGGCACGATGGCGTTCTCCTCGACTAAATCCAGTGAGCCGGAACTAAATACTACAAGGCCACGTTCTAGCGACAAGCACGATGATCTTGCTCTGGCAAGACTGGGGAAGAAAGCTGTGCTGAAGGTATGTATCCCTCTGCATTGATCACGAACATGGCTGATGCAAGTACAGCGTCGCTTCGGCTTCCTATCTATCCTCGGTTTCAGCTGCACTGTCTTGATCACCTGGGAAGGATCTCTTGTGTACGTCGTACTACCTCGTACTACACGTTGACACGTCGCTGACAGTTTCTCAGGCTGTTCCTGGTCGGCTTCCAGAAGTGAGTACACAACATGACACAACACATCGACCATGAGACAGTTGTGCTGAAAGAAGCAGTGGCGGCCCCGCTGGTGTCATCTATGGCTACCTCATTGTATGGCTCGGCACCGTATCTGTGTTCATGGTGCTCAGCGAGCTTGTTTCAATGTATGTCCGGCTTGAAATCCGCGTTTTACGACGAGGAGACGATTGCTAATCCACCTCAAAGGGCACCTACATCTGGTGGTCAATACCACTGGGTTTCCATGCTGGCACCAAAAAGCTCTCAAAAACTGTTGAGTTACATCTCAGGTGTGTAAACCTTAAACTCGACGATCTCTATCGATAGCGAGTGCTAACGCAACTTCCCCGCAGGATGGCTCACTCTCTGTGGCTGGCTAGCATCACTCGGGTCCGGCGCTTTCCTCACCGGTGGCCTCATTCAAGGCCTTCTCATGCTCTGCCAACCGGATACGTACATTCCTCAGAACTGGCACGTCACTCTCCTCTACTGGGCCATCATTGCGTTTTGCGTCTTTATCAACATTGCTGCAGGATGGCTACTACCCAAGTTCGAAGGAGCGCTATTGGTCTTGCATATCCTTGGTTTCTTCGCCATCTTAATTCCTTTACTGGTTCTTGGGCCACAGGGCAATGCGAAAGAGACCTTTACCACGTTCGTAAACATGGGACATTGGCAGACTCAGGGATTGAGCTTTTGTATTGGCATTATGGGGAGTGTCTTTGCGTTTGTTGGCGGTGATGGGCCGATTCATGTGAGTGTCTTCCTACATGAGATTCCTACATGAGGTTACTTCTAGCATCTGGCTTCGCAGCAAGACACTAATACATCAGCGCAGCTGTCTGAGGAGATTCAAAACGCACAGATCGTCGTACCTCGCTCCATCATGACTGGAATCGCCATCAACGGCTCTCTCGGCTTCGTCATGATGGTGACCGTGCTCTTACGGATGGGTAATCTCGATGATGTACTTCTAGAGAACCCTGCGTTCCCTTTCATGGCTATCTTTCACACTGCCGTCCAATCACGCTCCGGTGCCGCTGTCATGGCATCCATCGTCATGGTGCTGACCATCAGTGCGAACGTAGGGTTCTCCGCTTCAACATCAAGAATCTGCTGGGCGTTCGCTAGAGACCGTGGTCTACCTGGGTGGAGAACTTTGAGCAAGGTATGCATACTTGAAAGCCCTGCGTTTGAAAGAAAGGTAGTATTAACATCGACCAGGTCAGCGATCGTACATCCATACCCGTCTACGCCGTAGCCTTTACAAGCTTCATCGCCTGCCTTCTCGCACTAGTGAATATCGGATCCACCACCGCCTTCAACGGCGTAATCTCTGTCGCTATAGCCGGCCTCTTCTCCTCCTACCTCCTCACCTCCTCCCTACTCCTCTACCGCCGTTGCACCGGCGCCATCCTCC